ATGATCAATATGGCAGGATCATCATAGTCCCTGAGGGTGATGGGTAAGAGTTATTTGTTATTTTTACGTTTATTGTTTTGTACAGTTTTACTAAGATATTAATGTGTTTTTTTAAATTGCAGGTTCATCCCTAGTAATATTACTACAAGGATAATCACCAAAGCCATCAGAAAGCTTTATGATGGCCCTTATGCGACTTGGAGTGATTTCCCATTCTCGCTGAATGAGCAAATTTTCAATCAATTTAAGGTATAAATATTCTTTTAAGCTGTACAATTATTTATATTTATGATATTTCCATCTAAATATGTATTATAGAATATAGCGCTTATATACACACACACACACACTCTTATACTATATTATGCACTAAGTATTAGTGTATTAACTAATATTATATCGAATATAGCTTATATATATCGAATATAGCTTTTATATATATTCGATAAAAGCTTAGTGCATTAATACATAATTATTCAAAAGTTAAGTGCATTAATACTTAGCTTTTGAATAATTATTAGCTAATAAAAGTTAAGTATAATATATCGAATATAGCTTTTATAATATTTTCATCTAAATATGATATTTCCATATAATACTTAACTTTTGAAATACAGATCAAGTGTGTATAGGAACACCGCTATAGCCCGGATGTGGCTGCAAATTTTCATCTCAAAGCTCGCAAGCAGTTGCCGCATTGTTTCTCCAAAGCTAGAAAGATGAACCAGAAGCCTGGCTGGTTGCTTCAGAATTTATGGGAGGATTTGCAAAGGCAATGGCTTACCGCAGAGTTCTTAGAGAAGAGCGAAAAAGGAAAAGAGCTCGTGCATCTGAGAAGGGAGGATCCTTATACACTGGAGGTGCGATCAGCCTAGGGAAAATAAAGAGAAGAATGGTACGTAATTGCTTAATGTATTTTAATTTTCAAAGTATATCTATTCTGTTTATTAACTAAAATTTATGAGTTTTCACGAAAAGAAGTTGGGGCGTCCGATGAACCAAGATGAGCTATTTAAGGAGACTCATATTGTAGAGAAGAAGAAAGAGACGGATCAAGAAAGGTGGGTCGAGGGCCGAGCCTCGACTGTACATGTAAGTTTTCACTTTTCATTAAGTATTTTGATTTACTTTTATATAAATTTTGAAATACTAATTCAATGTAATTTTTCTTATAGGGTCGCTTCACAGCTGAAGTGGAGGAATTCATACGCAGTCAGCCACCTAATGAGTCGGGCGACCCAATCCAACCTTCGGACGAGGATGCTGAAAGAATGTGGACGCAGTTGCTGGCGGTCCAAAATGGGGGAAGGTATACAGGCTTCCTACTAAGAAATTTCATCGCTATAAGTGTGGAATGCAAGGAATAGGGACTTCCTCGCAAGCCGAGCAACTTGATATGGAGAGCCTCTCCTCTATGCGGGAGACTGTGAGAAAGCTCACATCCGAGCTAGAAGTCGCCAAGTAAAGAGAAAAGCTTAGAGATGCTCAGTACATTAGCATGCAAGAGCAGATCAAAGCTCTCCTAGCTTCTGGCAGTTTTTCGATTCCCCGGTCTCGTGAGTCATCGCCAGAGGTTCGCCTTCCCCGTGCTCGTTCCTCCCGTCCTCCCCGTGATCGTTCTTCCCGTCCTAGACAAGTACACCCTTCTGGATACCGTCTTGGTGATGAAAGTTCATCAGACGATAATGATAATGATGTACAAAACAATCCTTGACTTTTATACACTTTCAACTAGACAAATACAATCGATTTTCGAATGGGCTTGTAATAAAAGTTAACTTAGTTTGGTTAGCTTAATGTGTTAGTTCTATTGAACTTTATAGTTTGTTAGTTTTAATGTTGTTGTTGTTGTTGTTGTTTATTGTTGTTGTTTCTTTTTATTGTTGTTGTTGTTTATTGTTGTTGTTATTGTTGGCATAAAATGCATGTTTAGGAATTTTGGTAAGCTGGCAGGTGGTGTAGCTGCCAAAACAGGCAGTTTCTGCCAAAAATATACCAAGAAAAACGACCAACTTTGGTCGCTAGTTGGTCGCTTCTCCCTTAAAAAATAATAATTTTCTGGGCAATAGCGACCAAGGTTGGTCGCTATTTAACCCAGATTTCATAAAAGCGACCAACTTTGGTCGCTATTCCATTTAAAAAATAATTTCTGGAAATATAGCGACCAAAGTTGGTCGCTTATAATTAAAAAAAAAAATTAATTCTTGACGTTAGCGACCAACTTTGGTCTCTTATTTAAAAAAAAAATTAAAAAATTAAATAATAAAGCGACCAACTTTGGTCGCTATTTTTCAAATTTTAAAATATAATATTTTCTTTACAGATCAAAGTTGGTCGCTTTTTTATGACTAATAATAAATTAAAAAAAAACGTAATTTACATGTGGAGACCAACTTTGGTCGCCAAAATTATATTATTAAAATATTATAGCGACCAAAGTTGGTCGCTTTTTTATGACTAATAATAAATTAAAAAAAAACGTAATTTACATGTGGAGACCAACTTTGGTCGCCAAAATTATATTATTAAAATATTATAGCGACCAAAGTTGGTTGCTATTTTCTTTACCCGGAATATTTGGTCCTTAAGGTAAAGGGACCAGCTTAATATCGACCAGGCCTGTTTGGTCGCCTTTTGGTCGCTTTTTGGTCAATAAGCGACCAACTTTAGTCGCTTTTCGTGGTCGCTTTTTCCGGATTTCTAGTAGTGTTAATTATTCACACCTTCATTGAACGATGGAGCTAGGCAACAATTCGGGACATTTTAGTGAAGTTTTAAGAGAATCATACACAATAGTTCTTCTCAAATCTCAAGGCGTGAATGATGTAGCTAGGCAACATTAAGAGTACTTTTTAATAGAACTAAATTTATATTAATTTTAGAAAACTTTTTACAAGAGATTTAAAATCTGAATGAAACATTGTCGCATCTTAAATATTGAATATAAGGAAGTCACAGCTTACAAAAAATATTATAATGTAACTTGGTGGCTTAAAGGTCTATAATTAAGAAGAAGAAAAAAAGGGCAGCTCGGTGCAAAAATTAAAAATAGTATGAGCTAGTCAGTTTTTAGACTAGTAATAAAAAATTGTCAGCATTTGCAAAGTCTATGAAGTTGTATAAACTTCCAGCATATTATGAGCCCGTTTGGATTAGCTGATTGTATATATCTAATAAGCTTGAAGTGCTGAAAAGTATTTTTAAGTTCTGAAACTGATTTTTTAAATAAGCATTTATGTGTTTGGAAAAACGTGCTGAAACTGATAATAAACAGTTGATGCGTTTGAAGAAAAGTGCTGATAAACTATTCTTTTGTTAAAATGACTATAATACTCTTAAAACTTAGCAAAAGATTATAAATTAAAAATTTTCTTTGTAAAGAAAAGGATGAACAACAAATATGGAACGAAGAAAAAAGTTAAAAAATTTATTTTAGGAAAAATATTTTGTGAATTTAAAAATATTATTAAGGATAAACATTTATGTGTTTGGATAGACGTGCTGAAACTGATAATAAGCAGTTGATGTATTTGGAAGAAAAGTGTCGATAAGCTATTCTTTTGTTATAATAACTAAAATACCCTTAAAACTTAACAAAAGATTATAAATTAAATTTTTTCTTTGTAACGAAAAGGATGAACAACATATATGGAACGACGAAAAAAGTTAAAAAATTTATTTTAGGAAAAATATTTTGTGAATTTAAAAATATTATTAAGGAAAATATTTATGTGTTTGGATAGACGCGCTGAAATTGATAATAAACAATTGATGTGTTTGGAAGAAAAGTACTGATAAGCTATTCTTTTGTTATAATGACTAAAATACCCTTAAAACTTAACAAAAGATTATAAAGTAAAATTTTTCTTTGTAAAGAAAAGGATGAACAACAAATTATATGGAACGAAGAAAAAAGTTAAAAAATTAGGAAAAATATTTTGTGAATTTAAAAATATTATTAAGGATAAACTAGTAAAAGCGTTGGTCAAACTAAAAAGTGTTTCTAAGCTGAAAAGCCATAAGATGAGGGTGACCAACTTATGACTGATTTTAGCTTATAAGCACTTGGCTTATAAATACTTTGGGTATTAACAAACACGTAGAAAAGCCAAAAGATGCTTATAAGCCACTTTGACCAGCTTATAACTTAGCCAAACACCCTATATGTTGGAACTCTAGCATATTATGAAATTCTAGCTTATTATGGTGGAATCTCAAATATAAAAAATTCGAACTCCAGCATATTATGCTGGAATTTTTCCGAATTTTTAAGGGTATTTTTGTTCATATTTTATCTTTACATGAAAAAGTGGCAAAATTTCGATTACTTTTGAAATTGTAGCTAATTTTCAATTAGTAAGTATAAATCTGGCTATTTCTGATATTTTTCCGTGTACAAAGCATCCGCTATCATGCAGAGTTCGAGGAAGGGCCACACCCCGAAGGGGTAATATAAGCAGCCTACCCTGATACAAGTACGGTTGGGTGACACAAAGACAACTAAACAACTTGTTTGGATAGTTCTTACCTACTGTATTGTATCGTATTGTTACTTTAAATATAATATTGTGTATCATACCATTAAATATGTCGTTACGGAACGACGAAAAATAGCACTTTATGGAACGATCGATTTGATGTGGTCGCATCATTTCTATAATTTTTTTCTCTCATCTTGCCCTTCCTTAGGAGTATTAAATAACCCTATTTTATCTTTTGCCATACCTTTTTATATAATAATTCTACCTCGTACCTTTTTTTAATAATATTACAAGTATATTACTCGTATTGTTGGTGCATGACATCATGAAATAACGATAAACAATACAATCTATTCCGATATTGTACACATCAAAACTATACGATACAATCAATACAATACAATGCAATACAATAAAATACCATACCTTATTAAATGATACTACATCTAACCATCAAAACAAGTTGCAAGTTGATCGAAGGCTCCCTTCTCAGAGGACTATAATAATGATTTCAATAATCATACTGTATGTCAGAGTCAGATGGTAGATACCTAATTTTCAGGAACTCCTTCAAAAATGGTGCAATGCTCTCTCCAACTCAGTTCGACGAGGCGCTGACTTGGTGCCAATTCAAACCTTAGCCTGCCTTCATTTGCTCGGCCATGTGAAGGCTGTTTTTATAATCAAGCTAGTAACCTTCACTTCCATTAAAAAAAGAATTTGCTTTGGTGTTAATCTTAGAAGACTTTTTCTACGAGTCATGATTTAGCACCAAATATTAAACCTAAGAGGAAATTGTCTTATAGATTGCGAGTCGTCTCTCTCTAGATTTCTCAAAAATACAGTCATGGATACCTATTTGATTCAGTTCCAAAATGCCCAGATGAAGGCGATTCTGAGGCCTAGTTCTAGGGTTCCGTTTGAAACCTTCATTTCCGATCACATGTCCAGCTCCGATAAAATAAATTCGGAGGCTGAGTCAATTTTCAACATGATGAAGCAAAAGGATCCAGAGTCCCTTGCTCTTAAGCTTGTTGACTATCTTAGCCACCCTTCCCACAACCTTGATACCCGTCAAGAGTGTGCTAAACTCCTTCACAAGTTGATTACTGATGATGATGACTTGTGCACTTGGCACAATCTAAGTGTCTCCGCTCAATCCACAATCAAGTCTATGATCCTTGATTGCATGAAGGTAGAAGATTCAAATTATATCATCAAAAAGCTTCGTAAAACTGTTTCAAAGCTGGCTGCTTCATTTCTCCCTGATAACACCTGGCCTGAATTGTTGCCATCCCTGTACCAATGGGTCATTGGTTCCGGTTCAAATTGCGTGTCAGTTTTCTTAATATTTGCCAAACTCGCTGACGACAAAACAATAGTCCCTTGCATAAAACAATTGTTGTCACTATTCCTTAGTACACTGAGTGACACTACCCTAGATCTCGATATGAAGATGGCAGCCGTGAGAGGAGTGTTCAGGATAATAAGGACGTTGACTGAAAAGGAGCAGTTTCAAGATCAATTGCCAGGTATAATGAGGATGTTGACTGAGGCATTGACCATCCATATTGAGGCAGCAAAGCATGCGTTAGAGTGTGCTGAACTCTTGCTTATTGATGATGAGTATCTGGAAAATAGGTCCAGTCAATTGTTGGTTGAGTTTTTTACTCAGTTCCAAAAGGAACGGACGATTGGGGAAATTCTCGGGCCTGATTTAGAGCCATTTCAAACCTTTATTTTCAATTACATGTCGGTAAAAGATCCAGAAACTCAGTCGATGTTTTACATGATGAAGCAAATGCATCCAGACTCCCTTGTTATTAAGCTTGCTAGCTATCTTGGCCGCCCTTGCCATCGCCTTCGTACTCGTCATGTGTGTGCTCTCCTCCTAAAGAAGTTGCTTACAGATAAGGACGACTTTTGCACTTGGCAAAAACTGAGTGTCTCCACTCGATCCACCATCAAGTGTATGATCCTCGCTCGTATTGAGCAAGAAGAATCAAATTTCATCATCCATAAGCTCATTGACACCGTTTCACTTCTCCTAGATAACACCTGGCCTGAAATATTGCCATGCCTGTACCAACACGTCATTAATTCTAGTTCAAGCAACCACTTGAGAGCGGAAGCTTTCTTAATATTTGGCGAACTAGCTGAGCACATAGGCGAAACAACAGTCCCTTGCATAAAAGATTTGCACCGACTATTCCTTAATACACTGAATGATGATACCCTTTGTCTCGACGTGAGGATCTCCGCCACGAGAGCTGTGATCACCTTCATTCAGTGTGTATCGAGTTCAAATGGAAAGGAGCGATTTCAAGATCTATTGCCAGGTGTTATGAGGATCTTGACTGACACATTGAGCAACAGTAAGGATCAGGAGGATGCAGCAGATTACATGCTGGATCTTTTCATAAAGTTAGCTCAGAATGAGCCTAAATTCTTTAGGCGACAGCTAGTGATTGTTGCGGGTTCAATGATGGAGATAGCAGAGGATGAGAAACTGAAAGAGGGGACAAGGCAACGGGCCGTTGAATTTTTGATAACTTTGGTTGAGGAAAGGGAGAGGACACCTGGGATGATGAGGAAGTTGCCCTCATTTATTAGCAGATGTTTTACAATGTTACTGAATTTATTACTAGATATTGAGGATGACCCCGCTTGGCATAGTGCAGAGACCGGCTCTGATAATACAGGGGCAACAAGTAATTTCAAAGTTGGTGCGGAATGTTTAGGTCGGTTTTCTGTTGCATTAGGAGGTAAGTCTATTGCTCATACTGCTAAAGAGCAGCTGTCTGCTTACTTGGTTGCCCCAGAGTGGGAGAAGCGCCATGCAGCTCTCGTTACACTTGCTCATATTGCTAAAGGTTGCTCAAAGCTGGTATGTACAATACCTGTCTTAATGTATTACTAATTGGTTTGGTTATAATGGATATAATATTATGTCAACTCCTTGCATTTAAGAGGTGCCTTTTGCTGGCAAACTGCTTAAATATCTAAGATAATTTGCCCCTATTCTTTACCAGAATGCTTTACACTATGTTTATTACGTGTTTAAAGTTATCTGTTTGATTTTTTATTCCTTAGGCAATTACCCCATCATGGCTTCTTTTTTCCTATTACAGGTGATGTTTAAGAATCTGGAGCAACCAGTGAATATGGCTCTAATTTGTCTCCAAGATCCTCATCCTCGAGTCAGACTGGCTGCTTGCAGGGCAATTCACCACTTGTCGACTGTCTACTGTCCAGATTATCAAAAACAATACCATAACCAAGTGGTTCCTGCATTAGCTGCAACTTTGGATGATCTTCATCCACGAGTGCAGGTTTGTCCTATGTGATATGTACCTTTTGTAGATGCTGCAGAATTCCCAAAAGAACTTGCAAGCTAAAAGAAGATTAGATTATTGATCATTGATACATGAAACAACCAAAAAAATCTTTTATTCTTACTGCACCTCCTCTAAAAAGGGGTCTTATCATGTACCATACGGCTGAAGTTCTTTAACCTTGCCTAGGTTTAGTACCCCTTTAATTTATAAAATTGTGTTTTATCCACAAAAAGTATTGATTCCTAAGAATCTTGGGTTCAAGAGCAAATATTTCACAGCTGTTAGAGTTGGCTCTTTATCAGACCACTAATCTTATTGCATTCTGCTTGATGTAATTGTGAGTTACTCTGATTAGTCCCTTGGCTATATATGGCTTACTTAGCTGTAAGGGTTGTTCCCAATTTGTCCATAACAATCGTTTTTGCTTTTCTGCAACACGAGGCAAATTAAGGATGTCTTTTGTATATCTCTTCTAGAATTTCTTACGATAAATATTGAGTTTATCTGGGTTGCAATAAGATCACTCTCACTGACTTACAAGAACACTGAATGATTAATGAGATCATAGAGGAAGTAATAATTACTACTAAATGTCAGCGGGGGTTTGGAAAATAAAACATAAGCCTAAAGATTTAGTAGATGTGAATCCATTCAGTTGCTGATGCCAACTAATTTGGTCCTTATACTTTTTTTGGTATTTTTAAAGGAATCTGCCTCGGAAGCTCTCTGGACATTCTTTGCGTGCTACAAGGAAGAAACTTTGATACCTTACCTAGATGGATTAGTTAACAAACTGCTTGTACTTGTACAGGTGTGTCAATATAGAGGCCATCAAATTACAAAGGTATGTCACTGCTGACAACTGCAAGGGGACTAATGATGTAAGTTTTCGTGTCTTTTGTTGCTTGAAATGCAGAGTGGTAAACTAATGGTCCAAAAAACAGCATTGATGGCGTTGTCTCGTCTTTCTCTATCTGTTAAGGTATTAACTGGCGCATTTATTCTTGTCTCCGATCTATTTCTTCTTATATTATCAAACATGAAGGCTGATATATTAAACGTCAACAGGGGCACTTCCGGACCTACTATGACACTGTTATGCCACACTTGAAAGCTATCCTGCGAAACACAGATCTTAAGTCTAATCACAGACTTCATGGCATAGCGTTGCAGTGCATAAGCTTTGTTGGGTCTGCTGGTGGCAAGGACAAATTTAGAGAAGACGCAGCGCAGGTCTTCTACCAACTTTGTTTTTGATGCCATCGATTGAGATTGCTTCGTTCTTGTTTCATTTGTTATGCTTTATCACATGGCTTTATCATAGCCAAACCATAATATAGATTACTTTTTTCTTGGGTTACACCTTCTTTCAACAATTATGTGCAACAAAATAATGACAGTGTTACTTTTCCACCTCTCTTGGCATTCTTTTTATTGTCTTGGCATGTGGTGGTGTGAGCTTATTTTCCTTCGGTAATTTCTCAACTTAGAGCTTACTTTTTATTTATTTCCTTTTTATTTTTGTCATTAAAGGTTATGGAAGGTCTTATATCATTACAAGGATTACACTCGAAGGGGGATGATCCTATTTCTTCGAACTTGCTAAGGGTATATACGTGTAAATTACTCGATTTTAAGATCAAATTTCTTTCTAGATAGGGCCTCTTTTTATTTTCTTTGTTTCATTGCAGACATGTGGTAACATTTGCATTTGTCTGGGACGGGATTTTCTTCCTTACATGAATGAAGTGATGCCCTTTTTTATTATTCGATGTGCTCAACTTGAACCTGTTTCAACCTGTTTAATCATCTGCTGCTATGCTGACAAATTAGAGGAAGACTTCTACCCCTGGGTTCCCCAGGTTGGCATGAATGATCTCTGCACGTTTTCATTTTCTCATATGTTGGGGAGCCACGGTGTAACTGGTAAAGTTGCTAACATGTGACCAGGAGGTCACGGGTTCAAGCCGTGGAAACAGTCACTTGCAGAAATACAGGGTAAGACTGTATACAATAGACCCTTGTGGTCCGGCCTTTCCACCCCACGCATAACGGGAGCTTAGTGCACCGGGCTGCCTTTTTTATGTATTGTTGAGTGAAGTCAGATTAAAACAAGGGATATCAATGGCTTAAGGCATGAAACAGGTTGTTTCGATCGTTTTTCCACTTCTGAAATTCCATACTCACAATGTCAGGAAAACAGCTGTTGAAGGTGAGAATTCTCGTGATTTCATAAGGTTTCTTTGTTTTCATGTTAGTTCTCCACTTGCTGATGCAAATTTTCTAATTTTTGCATCTTTAAGCCATGTATAACCTGTTGTATTCTGCTAAACTGGCTGTTGAGAAAGGGATTGCGCAAGGTGGAATTGGGTCCTATTTCATAAAGTTGTCAGACGATATAATACTGTCTTTGTTAGAAGCTTTGCATGAGGTTGTCCTTAACATCAGTGCTTATGTTGTTTCTTTTAAGGTCCAATTGGATAAAGAGAAAGTAAAAATTGATTTGTTATCTCAAGCAGGAGCCTATGATAGAAGTATGTCCATTCATATTGGATAGATTGAATGGTTGCCTGCAGGTTTGGTTCTATCTAAGACAGTTTCTTTAATATTTTTTATCCAAGCTTTGCAGTGTCTTTTTTGAACTTTTTATGTTCCAACTTGATCATCCTGTTGGCCTTTACAGTCCCATATAGTAAATCACTCCAATTTTTTCTCCTTCAATAATCAATAGTAATTTGGTTTCACCGTCTAAATTTGAGTCCATTACTCACATGGTCATTGAACTATGTGAAATTATAGAGTAAAGTCATTTTTCTTTTATTTGTAACAAGAAAGTCACTCAACTATCCCTATTGCATTCTGATGATCACTCAACCAGATTTGTTGATTTTCTCGATGGAAAAATGCTGTCTTAGCAGTCCACATTGACTTTTGAACCACATAAAATAATTACTAACACCCAAACAAAACATAGAAATCCACCCATACACCGAATCCGACCCTGGTAACATTTGGGCGGTTGACCTGCCCATTTATTAACTCGTTCCATTTTAACCCATCCAAATTTAGCCCAACCTCCCGTTGGACACCCCTGATTTTCAGTTATCTGTTTCTTATTTCAGATATGTGGACCACTTGTCAATGAAGGTCAGCTTCACAGAATAGTGGATGAGGTAAAGCATGTCATTACAGAAAGTTCAAACAGAAAAGGAAAACTCAAAGAGAGAGCAAAATCAGAAGACTTTGATGCTGAGGAAGATGAATTGCTGAGGGGGGAAAAAGAGCAAGAAGATAATATTTTTGTCCAGGTATGTTCCATTTTAAGTATGAAGCTCAGATATAAGTAACACACTATTGTACTCTTTATGCAAGCCTCACTTTGGTTCTATTGCTATTATCAAATAACGTAAAGGTTTATTTTTTTAATCAGCTCCGTCGAATATTAAAAACATTGATCAAAACCTTCAAGGCAGCATTCTTGCCTTTCTTTGACGAGCTGTCATCATATCTTATTCCTATGTGGGTAAGTGGAAGACATGATAACCACCTTCATTCTAACACTCTACTTATTTATTTATATCTATATCTTATTCCTTTTTTTAAATTTAATTTTTTCACTTTTTCTTGCTTCTGCCAAGGGCAAAGAAAATACAGCTCAAGAGAGATGTACAGCAATTGATATCTTTGCTCGCCTTGTAAGGGAATGCCCTGAAGTGACTCTAAAGTGGGTTTGTGTTTATGAGTTTTTTTGAAATGGTTGGGTTCACCGTTTTGATAAAAATTATTTCCCATATCAACTAGGTACTGTGATGTATTTCTACCTTTGTTTGTGGATGCAAGCAATGATGAACACCCAACAGTTAGACAGGTTCGGGTGCCTTAGTGGTTGCTGAGAGGTTTTCTTACTCAGTTGCTCATAATTTGATTTAACCAAACACCATTTTGTCGTGTTCAGTGTGCTCTTTATGGACTTGCGCTTTATGCGGAATATGGTGGTACCGTTTTCAAACCTTATGTTACAGGTAATATCGTTAAATATGATATTGAGATCCTTCTCATCACAGAGAACTGGACAAAAAGTGCTATAATATTTTTGTACTTACTAAATCTTATGGCATGATTCAGAGGCTATTTCAAGGATCAATGTAGTGATAATGCATTTTCGAGCTCGTGAGCCTGAGAATGAAAATGTTTATTATTCTGCTGTTTATGCACTTGGTACGATATGTCAGTTTCATCGAGAAAGCATTGGCTCGGCGCAGGTTTGTCCTTTTTAAAATCCCTAATGTTTATTTGTTGTGCATTCTTATTCCTTCAGGTCATATATGCTTGAGTTGGATTCTGAAATTTAAAGGGTCTTTATGAAATTTAGTAATGGCATACATGTTTCTGTCTTCCTAGTTATTTCGCTATCTCTTTATTTTTCTCCCTCTTTCTGTTGTTCTCTTGACTATTTGATACATTTATTTCCCTTCTGATTGACCTTCTGCTTTCAGGAGAAAATGAGAAGTGGAGAGCTTCTGAATGTCGAACCACTTGACCTCGAATATCCTCAACTGATCAGTCGCTCGTTTCATTTGTCAAATAAGACTGAAAACCATGTCGCTTTCAGGGTTGGTTCCTTAATCATATTTTTCTCCTTTTCTGTAATTGTTTTGTTGAATTTTTAAAATGTATATTTACAGTATCGATTTCGATTTCTTGTACACATTATTTTCAGGTCAAAACGATGAATGCCAAAAAGTATTGCGTTCGTCCCAACAAAGGGATTGTGTTGCCTGGATCAACTTGTGATCTTATTGGTAATTTCATCCGCTAATTAAGAAAAAGGAAAAGAGAGATGCGATGAATTTTTTGAAAGTGAAGTCATCTATGGTGATCTTTTGAATTTTGAGGATGAAAATTTAAGTAAATGTAGATTGAATTTTGATAGTATAAGCTTTGTGTTTTATGCAATTAAAGTCATGGTTAGTCATTTGTGTTCATTTATGCATCTTCTGTAGTAACAATGCAAGCGCAGAAGGAGGCCCCTTCTGACATGCAATGCAAGGACAGATTTTTACTTCAAAGCATAGTTGCAAATCCTGGCACCACTCCCGGAGATTTTACCCAGGAAATGGTAATAGAACTACCCATTTAATATATCTCCATTGTTGTATTTTACTGTCATGCTGGTGTTTGAGTGAAAATTTAATAAGTTTAAATTAAATGGTGGATCATATCAGCTTTAATTTAATTAGTGGCTATAGGATTTTAGTTTGTTGAACTGGTGACGATCTTTTTGTAGTTCAAGAAGGAGGTAGGACGTGTTGTTGATGAATGCAGGTTGAGAGTGATTTATATTCCCCCGCCTCAGCCACCATTCCCTGTCGCAGAATCCTCAAGGCAGTTCATGAAAGATATCGGCCATCTAGATGGTTCTAAGGTTGTTTACTTATTCACTTGTGATCATTGATTTGATATCATCGTTACTTTCAGGTGTCAGAGCGACATTGACTCTGATGAGAAATCGTCAGAGATGAACGTTCCACTTGAACCAATCAACTTTTGTTAATACCGGTCTGATAAGGATCTGTTTCATTGTGCATGTGCTCACATGTTGAAATAAGATAAAAGCAAGCATATAGATTTTGTTCTTCGTAGATGAAGTGATGTTTCTTCACTGTACCAGGTAGTATTGTTATAATTTCTTCACAATTCTTATTCCGAATTCTTTGGTAGATTGTTCCGATTTGGTTGTATTGCCTGCCGATAAAGGGTGACTTGGATGAAGCCAAATATGTTCATGACCTACTATGTTCAATGGTTGAAAGGTAATTAGTTTGCTCCACTTTTCATCCTTATCTGGTCTTTACATTAGTATTTCAAATCTTCATTATAATTTGATTCATATACTTTATTCACTAAAGCTAGGAAGAAAGATTACAATGTAGATACTTGATTAGAGATATTTTCCATGTATATCTTTCTTTTATTTTATAATTTTCGAATTCTAGCTCACAGAGGCGGATCCAGCATTTGAACTTTATGAGTTCATATTTGAAATTCTAATTTAATGGGTTCAAAATCTATTATTTATACATAGTAGTTAATGAGTTTTCTGATAAATATACAGGGTCTCGAGTCGAAACTATGGGTTCAGGTGAACCCATAACTTCTTTTGTAGATACGCCACTGCTAGCTCATATATTAATGCCTTCCTATTCTTCAGTGTTTTACCAAATTTTCTCACTTGCAGGTTGGACAGAGAACTTATTGGTCCCTACTATCAGGGCCTTCCAAAGATTATTTCAGTTTTTGCAGAGGTTGGTTTGAAATCATAACTATTTTATGCTAGATTCATGAGCTGTTCATTTTGAGATTTACATAAAGATTTCTCAACTATGATTCTTTTATTTATTCTTGCAAGAATATTAAAACCTTTTGACATTTTACAAATTATATTTTTCTGTATTACACGTTTGTGTTCTATTTTTTTTAAGCATAAATATGACTATCAGATCTCTAGCTCATAAGTATCTGATAAAAAACAAGGTAAGAGAATTTATCGAAGTAGAGAGGTTAATAAAAGTCCAGCTACGTCGATATACTTTTCAACATCCAATGTTATATAACATTCCTGTGTTTTCCCCCTTTGATTTAAATATATTCATATATTGTGGAATGTGGCCTTTTATGAAAGCTAATTCTTGGTATATCAATAATTGACTGTTATTTCTTTTCTAGGTTCTATGTTCTGAGAAGGCTCTTGCTACAGAAAAAACTGCACACCGCATGATTAACGTATTGAGGCATCTTCAGCAAGCACTACCACCAGCCATGTGGGAATCAGCATGGTCGTATCTTTTGCCTCGGCAGGTGATGGAATTGAAATCCATTCTATCACCCTAGAAAGATGCTAACTTTTAACCAATTCAATGATACCACTAATCTTTTGTTGGATCAAACTTTTTGCTGGTCAATGTCCCTCAAATGTAATATCTCCATGATTCTTGTTCCTAGTACTTCGCTAGGTAATTACAGCTTAGTTGAATTACCTGCATGTATAAGCTGATTTGATTGAAGCCAATATATGTTCATGAACAGTTGTGTTAAATGATCTCAAGTAATTCAACTCTTGATTTTGTTACCTAAGCATTGGTCGTTAAGGCTGGTTACAGTGTTAACAATGAGAACCAGCTCCTAGTAAGTCCACTAATATAATTAGTATGTGATTTTGCCAGTCCCTTGCTAATTAATTATGTTAAAGCCAAAAAAAAGAGAGCATCACAAATGACAACAGCATAAGTTGTAAGGTCTGCTCTGCTCCTACACTGAAATAAGCAACTGCAGAAAACCCTTAGTTGTTACTGTGAACAACCTTTAAGGCCTTCTTTGCAGATCTTGCATTGTGGTTAGTGTGTTTAAAGTTAGTTTGACATCAATGATTTTGTAGCCTTCATCTCCTAGCAGTTTGTACATACATGTCCAATCAGTGTTTTAAAAGGTGTGGGTGTAAGGTGAGACATTTTACATATGCCTCAGTGAGGCGTAAGCCTCGAGGCACGGAGCGTAAGCCCGATGGGTATTTAATTTTTAATATTTTATAAAATAATATAATTACATTAAATATTGTTAAATGGGTAAAATTGCTTAAAAATTGAAGAAAACTATATAATAGATGTATGCCATCCCCACAAAAAGCTAGTCAAATTAATCACTTACAAGTATAAGAAACTTGAGTTGCAAAGAATAAAATTTTCTACATGGAGGAACAAAAAGAATGACTAACCTGCAATCTGAACTGTGAACTTGCTGCTATGGAGGAGAATGGAGTTTTCGTTGTATTTGCGAAAAAAATTGGCTGTTAGTTGCTTTTGGGAGATAATAGTAGACTAGCGGACATGATAAAGAATTGGGAAAGAGCATAATTAAAGCTTCTAACAATATGAAAATGTCTTGACTTTTAAATTTAATAATTTAGTTCCTTTTTAAGACTTTTGAGTAATTACAAACTGTCTTTTGAGAATTTGGGTATTATATTAAGGACTTACTCACCAAATTTTGCTTTAATTTGAAAAAGTCTTTTGGGCTTAGCATACGCATCAAATTGCTAGGCGTAAGCCTCTTGAGTCTTTCGCCCCCACCATCGTCTCCCGGAATTTTTGGTGCGCCTCGCCTCAGAGCTCGCCCCGAAAACGCCTTTTAAAACACTATATTCAATTAGATAAAAAAAGAAAGTTGCACCTCTGTCGGAAAATAGTAGACAGTTAAATTTCGGAATAATAATTTCTCAAATGCTAGTTTTCAGTTTATGTTTCGTTCTTTTTCAAAAAATGTTTTTTTTGGGTACTCAGAGTCATCTGGTTAATGTCGATTTAAGAGATAGAGAGGACATAATATCCTAATCATCCAAAAAAACAGAAGGAACAGCTGAATTTTCCATAGTCAGTTATACTAAAGATCATACGGTATGCTATCCGTGGCTAAAATAAGAATGTTCTAGATCACATTCTTTATTGTTCTTGGTGTATCAAGATTAACAAACTTTATATGTTTAAAAGATTATAATCTTTTGCGAATAATCTGTGTCAAATTCCATTAATTGTTGCATCAATGACTGGTATGGTCAATGCAAGTCTGACAAATATTGTAAAACCTTTCAAAGAAATGTCATATAAGGAAATGAAGCTCATATGTCAATGCAATGAATCCATCCAAAGAAAATTTTCTGAAGTACAAACACAAACTGAAAAAGAATAATGTCTTCAGCTTCCATCTAGCTGGATATGTTATTGTACTTAACGAAATAAAAAAAAATTAAATAAACTGCTTACGAGAATTACTGGTTCCTTAAGATTACACTACTAGAATTACGCAAAAAAACCGACCAAAATTTTCCGACCAACGTTGGTCGGTCAAAAAAAGCGACCAAAAGCCGTCCAGCTTTGACGGAAACTGGAAAAAAAATATTTTACGTTTTTTTAAAAAAATACCAGCCAAAGTTGGTCGGTAAATTGGTCAACAAGTTAACCGAGCTGGTCAGGCATCCTTAGTCAAAGAAACTTTCACATTATCGACCAACTTTGGCCGATAATGTGGACCCAATTTTTTAAATTATTATTATTTAAAATATTTTATAAAATTTAAAGAATTTATATTTAAAATTACCTACCAACGTTGGTTGATTAATGTAGGGGAAGCATTTACCGACTAACTTTGATCGGTATATTTTATTTTCTGGAAAATAACCGACCAAAGTTGGTCAGTTATTAGGTCAACATTGGTCAAAATTTTGAATCACTTTTATATTTACTATCTAAATAATATAAATGTAATCCGTAAACACTTTTGGAATACAAATAATGAATACACTAACATATACTATAACATGCTATATATGTAGTTAAAGTAGCACAACAAAACGTGTGTGTTATATATATACACACACTAACATATACTGTAACAAGCTATATATATAGTTAAAGTATTACAATGAAAAATGTGTGTGTGTGTGTGTGTGTGTGTTTGTATATAATTTATCATCAAATATATCTATTTGTAAATTGATTCATCGACTTATAACTTATTTAGATGCATCGATGAATATTAAAAACAAAACGTTTTGACCTATATCGATTAATATAAAAAATCAAACGTCACGACCTAAAATAGAATAATATTATATATTGGTTTATGAATTGATAAATTATTCCTACGTAATAATGTATAAGATTGATCATCAATTACAATATAGTGTATGTGTGTGTGAAATTACTCATATACTTAAATATAACTTAGAAAATTTACTTAGATAAATGCTATTATAATCTATTAAAAGTAACTACCTAGTTAATATAATTTTTTGTAAAGATTATGCTTATAGTTTATAATTATTTGTAATAATTGTATAGTTAAATAAAATAAATACTTATAGTTAATAATAATTTTTTTTATAGTTTATTATAATTTTTTATAGCTTATAATATTTAAGAAATAATTTTTTTTAAAAAAAATAACCGACCAAAGTTGGTTGGTTTTTGGTCAAACGGTCAACACTTACTGTACCGACCAAAATATCGACCAACTTTGGTAAGTACATCTGAAAACAGACCTGAAATATACGGGATTCCCCCCATTTTTTCATACCTCTCCTCTCAAAATTCTCTTAACTCCTCACTCAATACCTTCCCCTCTCCTTCTCTATTTCCCTCACACAAATTCCATTCCCCACTCCGTGTCGCCATCACCCAGCTGCCGCCGTCGCCGCTGCCACTGCCACTGTCGCGCCTCTCCTTCTCCACCTCCTAAAAATTCTAGGTTTGAATTTCAACTTATTTCTTTTGTGTATGAATCTAATGTTTTATTTATTAGCTATGGATTAGTTTCAATTGATTAATGTTTCAATTGATTATTTAATATTGTATTTTATAGAAATCAAGGGTTTAGGTCTTGTTTTAATTGAATTGATTACATATGGTATAAATTGAATGTTTGAGTTTGCATTGTCTTGAATAGTTTAGTTAGAATTGAATTATTAACTTTGTATCGTTTTGAATAGTTTAGTTAGAATCTAGGGTTTAGGATTTGTTCCTGTGAATCGAACTTTTAGGGTATGGGTTGAATTTTTAGGATATAAATTGAATTTTTAGTGTATGTTTAAACTCTTAAGATATGAATTGAACTTTTAGTTTATATTTAAACTCGTAGGATATGAATTGAACTCTTAGTTTTTAGGTTTTGTTCTTGTGAATTGAACTTTTAGGATATGAATTGAACCTTTTGGATATGAATTGAACTTTTTAGGATATAAATTAAATTTTTAGTTTATAATTAATTATATTTAATATAATTTAATTTTTGGTGTAATTAGGAAAAAATAATTATCTTGAATTAACTAAAAAAGATTTAATTAATTTATAATTGTAGAATAAATTAATTTATTCTTGTTTTATTTGTATAGATGGAACATCGTACTTGGATGTACAATAGGAAATATCCTAATCGGCGAGGATTGTAGGAGAATTTTGTAGAAGGGGTTGATGACTTTATTAGACATGCAATGTCACTTCCACCATACCAAAGTGAAGAAGTAATTAGGTGTCCTTGTGTCAGGTGCACTTGTATGAAGTTTAAAAAATCGGAGGAAGTTAAGCTTCATCTTTATAAGATGGGGTTTATAGAGAATTACTTTATGTGGACTAATCACGGAGAGGTCGATGGTATCCGTGGAATATTTCATAAAATGATTGTTGGTGAAAGTAGTAGCTCGGTGGAGAATACAAATCTTGATTCTAGAATTCAAGATATGGTTGCGGATGTTTTTGGGATGCACTTCGGCGGTGAGCCCAATGAAAATTTTGAACAAACTCCTAATGATGACGCAAAATATTTTTATGAAAAGTTAGAGGAAGCTAGTAGTCCACTACGTGATGGAAGTCCGCACTCTGAGTTGTCTGTTGCAGTTAGATTACTAAGTATCAAATCTGATTGGAATATTTCTCAAGCAGCCATGGACTCTTTCATTGATCTTATAAGTGAACTAGTTGACCCTAATATCGTCTTACCTGGTGATTTCTATAAGGCAAAGAGATTGGTTTCTAAGTTAGGACTTTAGTCAATGAGAATTGATTGGTGTTAAGATGATTGCATGTTATATTACAAAGATGATGCAACTTTAGACAGATGTAAATTTTGCGAAAAGCCTCGTTTCAAGAGGCTTTCCAGCGAGAATATGGTCGCTGTCAAGGCGATGTATTATTTACCTCTTATACCTAGGTTAAAGAGGTTATATGCGTCGATGAGTTTTGCTCCTCATATGAGATGGCACTTTGAAAATAGAAAACCACCTGGTGTTATGTATCATCCTTCAAATGGAGAAGCTTGGAAGCACTTTGATTGGACATATCCAGATTTTGCTAGTGAACCAAGGAACATTCGGTTAGGTTTGTGTGCGAATAGCTTCACGCCTTTTTCTATATCTGGGACGCCATAATCATGCTGGCCTGTCTTTCTTACACCTTATAATCTACCACCTAAGTTGTGTATGACTAGTCTATATATATTCTTAAATTTTATTATCCCTGGTCCACATAATCTGAAAAGTTTGATTGATGAGCTAAAACAGTTGTGGTATGAT